GCAAAAGCTACTTTTATTCATAAGTTAAATATGTTGTTAAAAGGAATTTAACAACCTAAAGACCACACGCATCTATTTAAATGGAATCGTGGAATTGATTTACATTGACGCATAATCGTTTGCATATGTAAATGTGACCCATTTACTTTTACTGCTAATGGGATGTGTTTGTATATCCTATAATCGGAATCAAATGGATACTGTAACCCTTGTAAAGCTTCTCTTCCCAGCTTTAGAATCTCTGAGGACTTGTATTGAATTTTTCATTACATTTAGGTACTAGCTGTTGTCCGCGACGTCCACGCAATATTAAGATAAAAAAAGTAGCGTATAATATGTCCGTCTGTGTCAGCTACACTTCAGTGAAAGTCTGATCGAAATCGGCCCAGCCGTTTCGGAGATTGCCCTCAACAAACGCGGGTTGCGGACAGACAGACATTTTTTTTTTAATGCGATTTTCGTTATCAGGACGCAAATACATCATCTTCCTCAAATCTTTTTTCTTTCGATATTACAGACACTCCAATTTTATTTTATATATGTGTATATATAGATTGATAAGTCCCAGTAAATGCGTATGGGAAGATATTTCAATTACTAACTAAATATAACTATTACTCATTTATTGTAAGTTGTTAGAAGCTTTAAGGTCGAAGCTCAACGGAAATTATTTCTCCGAACGTTCTAGATACGGGGAGGGAATTTCAGGAAATAACTCGCTTCCCGGTTTGTATTGGGTAAAGTTTGTGTCAATTAATTGCAATAAATTTCTTTTCAAGGACGTAAATTGTTTTTTTTTGAAGCTCTCAAACAGCAATAATGTCTAAAAATCCAATATTTATAATTTCTTCAATATTAATATGTTTACTAATGGGTAATTTCATCAAATAAGAACACGAAACTCCACATGTCACACCCATAAAAAGAAATAAAAAACTTCAAAGGAAATTCTCACTTCATATAGAAAGTTAGAAACAAATTCAATAGCATGAAATCGATTCTAACAGAATCCACAAACTCGTTTCACTATCCCAAACTTGTGGCACAAGTTATATAAGATTTTGAATCTGCACACATGTCTTACCTAACTTAGTCGGTGCTATACTTTATATCTTCAGATACGTTGGGAAATTTACCCATATTCCAAGCGCTACATCTTACTTCTTACTAATATTATAATTGCGAAAATTTGGATGGATAGTTGGAGGGATGCTTGATAGGGTTTGTAGCCCAAACTGCTGAATGAATCTCGATGTAATTTGGCAACAATGTAGAGGATAGTCTGGAAAAACACATAGGCTACTTACTTTTGTTATTTTTAATTCCACGCAGACGGAGTCGCGGGCGAAAGCTAATATTTTAAAACTTTGAAAACATTAATGAGACTGTTGAAAATTAACAAATCAAATAAACTGAAACAAGACAAACAATGTGACATTATTCATTTATTTATTACATTTAGCTGTAGCAACTAATCAATACCTGGTTCATTAACCTCAATTTAAAAGAATTAGATTTCGTGCCAGTAACAAGACATTAAATACTAAAAAACTACTTGTGAACATAAAAGCACATCGTATTGTGTATTAGGTCCTCCGAGAGGACAATATACCACGCAATCAAATTGAAACAAATCCCCCGAGTGCAGAAACCTTCACGTTGCTTTCCACAATATAGCCGGCTGATATAAGGTTGGAATTCAACATGGCCGCCGTTACCTGTGTAAAGCTACATAAAAATGACTTCTTCGAAATTAGAAATGTTTTTTGTTTTATTAAGCATCTACGTATAATTTTAACATGCCAACTTCTTTAATACTAACTTTCACCCGCGAATCTGTCCGCGTAGAATTAAGAAAAAGTACGCAGCCTATGTTTTTCGAGACTATGCTCTACATGTATACGAAATTTCATCGAAATTTGTCTAGCCGTTTAGGCCACAAACTCTGACAAACATCCATCCATCTAAACTTTCACATTTATAATACTAGTAAGAGTATTACTTGAGTTCGTACAATCAAAAAACACTTTGAGGTTATCTAAATCTATACTATTATAATAAAGCGTAAACACACACTTCTTTGTTGCCTAAAATGTCGGAAATTACAGCATATTTTTGAATAATTCTTCATTTAATAAAAAGCCCTATACTTACATCACGCTTTAGGCTATATATTTTCACACCATTAATCTTAGGGGGTAAATATTTTGGATAAAAACCCCAATGCGGGTAAGAGACCATAAGTTGCTGCCAACATCAAGGAAGCAAGATTGTCAAGGTTTGTCATGTCATGTCATTTTGACATTTGCTATTGATAATTTGACAAATGTAAACAATAAAATAAAATTTTCATAATTTCATGCGGATGAAGCCGCACGGGAACAGCTAGTTGCAAATAAAATCTTTGAGTATATACAAATAACGATACTATGGCTTTGTATGTCTACTTACATCTGCTTCATTGAATATTTACGATCACCTTTACGCAGCCAGAAGACCGCTATAAAAGGGAACATTACTGTGACGTAATCCACCCAAGCTTATACAACTTGCGTGTAACTTGAGTTACATCAGGAGCCAAGTGGCTTTGACCTCACGTACAAGTTGCACAGAACATAACATCCTCTTAGAACTTAGGAGCTTACTTTTATTTCTCTTTTTTTGACGACAATAGAGTTTCCGATTCGAGTTTAAAGCTACTTTCAAATGATCGATATTAACAATTATGCTTTTTTTTAATAAAATCGGAAAACACAATTACTAACCATATAATCCTAAAATGGAAATGTATTTGATATATTTCATAGCGCAATAATTACATATTGCATACTAGATATCAAAGCTGTTCAGAGATCAGGTTTTCCCGCCAATCGCGCCCGCAATCAAGAGTTACGGGCCTCATGGGATCAGGGAATGCTTTGTACAATACTGCTTAAATATGTAAAAGCTTACCAAACTTTAGAAACTTGTATAGACGTTCTTTTTTTTAAATACGTCTCTTTTTTTTGGCATTTATTCATGGTCACAAGCAAACGGACGGATAAGAGCAATTTTGTTTCTGAAATATAAAGATTCAATAAGTTGCTCATTGTAAGTGTTTACATATTTATGTAACTGACTGTACATAAAAATATACATATTTTCACTGGCTATATGCCTTTACTAATGTTAAAAGAATTATAATGAAAAATGTCTAGCCAAGTTTCAAATACATTTTATTGCTCTTATAAATTTTTAGGAGCTACTTTTAGAATCTTTTAATTTTTATTTACGATGCCAGAGTATTAATATCTTTGAATAGCAAAAAATCGTTAATTTTATCATCACAAACTTAAATATATTAGCTTAGAGTATTACGTCTTACTGTCTGTTACAGATAAACTTAATAAAAAGCGATCTTTGACGTCGTTTGTAACTCAATGTTCTGCTTCCAGGCTTTGAAAAGGATTTATCTCAAAAGCGAAGATCTCCCGGGGCTTTTGCGGGGCCATTATTTGTCTAGAACGGATTTATCTACCAAGACTTGAATACTCTGTAATTAAATTCATTAGATGAATGCTAGAATAGTAATAAAGTAATAAGTACTTGTTCTTACAATAAATAAAACTCTCAAATCAAAAAATTAAAACCGGTTTTAATTTTTGACCAACTACAAAAAGGTTCTCAATTTGATCGATTTTTTTAGTACATTGATTACGTTGTGATCCGATTAACATGATCCTTTTTTGGTTGGAGTTCTTTTTAGAGCGAACACCGATTTGGTCCCAATTTTTAGATAATACTCAAAGTTCGAAACTATCGAGTAGTTTTTGAGTTTTTTCTCAAAAAAACGTACTAAAAGGCGGAATTTTTAAGTAGAAGTCGGTTTTTATTTTTTGTTAAAATATATCCTTCAAAATTTTCAACCAGGCTATGAATTTTGTTTTTTATTAGTGACAAGAGTATTCCAAGTTCAAATCCTTACAGCTAATGTTATTTTATTCACACTTTGCATTCAAACTTAGCATATTGAAAACTCTTCCTAGCTAAAAAAAGAATAAACGTAGTTTTGTCTGTAGAGAACGCCCGTTTTATCTTTTTGCCACAATCAGAGCATAGTCCTCGCAATTTTATTTAAAGATAAAAGAACATTCATTTGATTCAAATATTACATAGAACAGACTAAGTAGTGTTACCTAATTTTTAGTATTGAATTTTTTTTTTCGGTTTTAAAAGTAACACAAACATGTAATTATTAGATAAGAGAATTTACGTATACTTCAATGTATATTAAAAGTGCAGTTGGAATAGTCTTATTTAATTTGTAAGGTTTCTTAAAATACCAGTTTAATGCCATTATCGTCTGCAATTCTCATAAAGTGAATACACCTGCTTCAATAGAATTCTCCTAGAGGCGCTAGAAAATTATTAGCCAAGTCTTAAATAACCCAGCAATAATTGACTATTAAGTACCCCTTAATACCCCTATTAGTATTCAAAAATACGAATATATAAATTTACACTATCCTATCTTTAAAAAACATTATTTTCCGCTGTTCGGAAACTAGATAATTTATTTTGAAACAAAATTAAAATGGAAGTTATATCATACTAGTTTTCTCCCACGACTACATTAGGGTGGAATTTAAAAAAAACAGCAGCCTTTGTTTTCCAGGCTATGCTCTACTTCCAAGCCAAATATCATAGAGATCCGTTCAGTAGTTTAGGCTACAAACTTTAACAAACACCCATCCATTTAAACTTTCGCATTTATAACATCATCATCATCTCCCCTGCCTTATCCTACTCCCCTAGGTTTTCGTCCTCCAAATAACTCTATCATCCGTCATCTCAGTCATCACTCCCGTCTTGATCATGTCACCTTTCACAAAATCCATCCATCTCTTTCTAGGTCTTTTAACAAGACTTTTTTTTGTCTTTTTTTATACCATTAGTAAGATTTAACTAAAACTGAAGAAGAGTATAAATGAAAAGTTATAGGGTTATTGATAAGAAATATGGTTGATAAATTTTAGTTTATTAGAAATAAGTCGTCAAAACAGAATATGGACCTTTGTCATCACAGTAAATTAACAATTTCGAGTAAATTTCACTATAGTTTGGTCGTTTTGAGCCTTGTTTTATTACTTTCTAACATTTTTACATTCATTATATATTTGACAAAGTTTATATTAATACCGAAAATCAGGAGATCTACTTCAAACTTTAATAAAACAATAATACAGTGGTAAATAATACAAAATGCAGATATATTGGTAACATCTAATCGGTACATTTTATATAGTTTTTTGTGTTCAGACTATATTTATTTATTACATGATTACATTTTATAATATTCAAAACATGCAACATATATTTTTACATTCACATACACAAAGGGTGGGAACACACATAGTAAAGCCAGTAAAGTTTCACATGCCAGTTACTGGCAGAAATCAGTTGCTTATACAGTAGAACCTCTATAAGTTAAAGTCCAAGGGAAACACGAAATATTTTAAGTTATCAAGGGTCTATGTTATAGAGGTTTTGGACTCTGATGGGAAGGGGACATATTATTTTTTGAAGTTACCGAGGTTTAAGTTATCGAGGGTCTCCTGTACCAGTGAAATGCAATTGCTAACTGGGATATGTATTCCCACCTCAATATTTTTTATTACTATTTTAGTGTTCATAATATACAAATTGGTAATTTCTTAGTCATACATTCAAGCTATGTAAACTGTTATTAAAATAAGATATGTAAATTGTATATTACCCATAGCCGTAACCTATTGAACATTGTATGGCCAGTGGTACCCAAAGTAAAAAACATAAGTTAAAAAACTAAATACATAAGAAAAAAACAAATTAAATGACACTGCAGTATTTAAAATCAGTCAATTTTTGGACTGGCTAGTCTTTTAAATTGAAAATGAAATTAAATTATTAAAATTTCATTGTTCATACCCATGTTATAATGAAAATATTATTTTATAGTTTACATATGTAAAAAATTCAATTGCAAATATCAAAATGTAAATGCTCAAATGACAAATTCCTTACTTCTGGTTGAGAATTAAAGTAACCATGGCAACCATGATTACTCTTTCTCACAGAGTAATTTTTACCAATATATTCACCCTTTAAGTTCAATAGCGTGAAAATAGCCTAAGCAGTAGGGCTCTTTTTAGTCATTTAAAAATCGAAATATTCGTAAATACTAAAGTTACAATAAGTAATTTAGGAACCACTGGCACAACAATTACAGATTTGCAAAGATAACAATAAACTTACAAGTTAAACTTAACTGGAACTAAGTGGATTTCACATTTGTGGCAGGAACTCAATTGGTGTTGCGAACTTGAAGTCTTCGGGGAACAATTTGACAGCAAACGGATACATCAGCTTGTACGACTGTCGGATTGTTACATCAGCCACACCGGCGATGTCTCCTATTTCTTTCTGACTACGCTTATCATCTGATGCCTGAAACACAAACAATTATTCCTTAAAAAAATCTGACAAGGAAAATTAATTATTTTAAATTCATGAAAGCATCATTATTTCAAAGAATTTTGTTACGATATTATTATTACGCTCACGCCTGCGACTTTGTTTGCTCAGAATTAATAATCTTTTTAACAATGAAAACCAAGTTAAAGATAAAGATTACCAACTTTTGGTATGTTTTAAGAAAAACTCAAAAACAACTATATAGTTTTGAAATCATCGAAATAACGATGTGGTCCACTAATCATTAAAAGAAGAAGAAGAAGAAGAAGAAGAACTATAGAGTAATTTTTAAAATTATTGGGACCAACTGGCTGTTATTCCGCATCAAAAAGAGTTATAAATCGGATCCTGCTTATTAATATTGACAAAAAAAACTTCTTAAATAGCTTTATACATCTATACCAAATTTCGTACAAATCTGTTTCAGAATTTAATTAATAAAAAAATCATCTAAAATTTTACTTTACAAGTATAAAATGATTGAATTGTTCTTATGCTAAAGCAAGTCACAATAAAAACTAATTGAATTTGCAATTTATGTAACTAAAATATTAAAAGTAGGTCAAAATGTTACTGAATTTACGATTTACACAAATACTTCGTAACTCACCTGTGACGCCATATATATAGCAGCCGCAGCCACAGATATCGGACTCCGACCAGAGACGATATCCAATTCACCAGCTTTCCGAGCAATATGTGTAGCCGCACGTTGCACTGAGTTCGGCAAGCCAAGGTTCGAACAGAACCGAGACATGAAATCAGCCGTAGTGATAAGTTCCACTGAAGTTTCGAGTGCTTTAAGAATGAGTTTGAAACACCTTCCAATTTCTCTTTTACTTATTTTGCTGACTGCACAGATTTCTTTGAATGTACGCGGTACACCTTCCTGTCTACACGCAATATAGAGACAGGCAGATGCAATAGCGTCGTTTGCTCTGCCTTTTAAATTTTTACCATCATGGACCTGTAAAACAAAAGTGTTACAATCATTTTATAATATTATAAAATTAAGAAACTATATAAAATATAGCCTATGTTACTCACTGATAACATAGCTGTTAGAGGTAAAATTTTTTTTAAAGTAGCCCAGCAGCTTTTGAGTTATTTCAATACATCCAAAAATACAAATCTTTCCTCTTTATAATATAAGTATAGAAGTAGATATATTAAAGTGTTACAAAATTACTTCTTTAAAAACTTTTGGTGAATCGAAAGAATTTAGTGGGAGAATCCTAAAGGAAGGATTACATCCTCTTTCTGTGCAATCCCTCCCCTGTCAATTAAAGGTAAACAGAGTAATTACAGAAAATTATAGGCAACTGTTGTTTTGTCATTTGGTCAAATCAAAGTGGATTAATATTTTATTGTACCCAAAACATTATTACTCAAATACATTTCTATTACCTGTTTAAACAAATTATTAGCTCTGTCCACAATAGTTTTAGGCAGATTTATTCGGTCGGCCATTGTGTTTATTTCTCGGAATGCATTAATAAGTGCTCTGTCATTACTACTAATGTTTCGTCTGTTCTGATACTTGGACACACCAAAACTATCAAATGAAGCATCACCCCGACCAGGTCCTATGATAGTGGACAAATCGCCACCGGAAAGTAAGGGGTTTTCAGGACCACCAACACGAGATGGATCCACACCAGACTTCTCATTGCTGAAAGTTCGCCATTCTGATCCGACATCTATAACCCTGGAAATATGTAATAAATCATAAGACATAAAATGGATTTATAAAAAAAAGATAAAAAAGAAACATCCAAAATTAGCCAATTAGTATTTTTGTTCTAATTCCATATAAAGATATTTTTACACATTTATTTGATAAAACAAGTTGCATTGACAAGAAAAACTAGTTGTTTTGAAATATCATGGAGTACAAAATAATTACCTGTCTCCTACTACAAGACCACATTCCGAGCAGATCATGTCACCAGCTCTATAATCCTCAATAAGTGGTGCGTCTGGGTGAGCATAGCACACCACTTTGTTAGCCTCCATTCTAAAGATACAAAAGAAAGTAATACACAAGGTATACAATACTCAATTATGAACCATATTTTAATCAGTTTTAAGAGAACTGTGTAGACACAAGCTAATAACTCTGAGTATAAAGGTACGTAGACTTTGCTAGTTCATTTAAAGGAATATTTACTTAATCATGAAATAAATTAAAACACAATTAAATATTAAAAACAAACCTCGATGTGCTCGCCATGATTGATTGTCAATTCGGAATGTCATAGACAATAGAGTCAAACGTTGAGTCGAGCTCTATGGAAAATAACAGAGTAAAATATTCACAAACCATAAACATTAAGGTTTATACTCTATGGTTTTAGAAGATTTACTAATTCTAATAATTTGCAAAAAATTTTAAATAAAATGCCTTTTTCAGTTGTGTGGGTTAGTTCCTATCTTTACTCCTACTATCGTTCTCTTAGTTTTAGATTTCCACAAATACATTTGATTGAATATAATTTCCATGTCCTTATTAAGACACCTCGCCACACGTCAACAAAATAGTAACTTCGTAATTGGGAGAAAGGCGAAATCATATTGAGCTTCAAGCTTCAATCTTGATAACAAATCCCTAAATATCATTAAAAATATAACAATCAAGCTAACGTAGCACAATTGCAAGCTCTCAAGAAAACCATAGTTTAATAAGCCAAAGCGAAATATATCAGATAAAATAAAAATTAATTACAAACATTTAACCATGACGCATGACCTCTAAAATCTATAGGGTTTTAATGTAATCGAGCGTACCTAACCTCGTATTGTGTAAAGTGTAAAGTATGAAGGCTCGAGTTGTCACCTTGGTAGCTTCGAATGCTGTAATTAATGAAACAGATGGTGTAATTAGGAGCGTGTATCGCAACAAACATTCACCAATGAGCCAACAATCGAACAATTATGGCTCAACTTGAACGCGCGGCAGAGACATTGACGGGCTCGTGCGCTCAGCATCTCGCATCTCGGCCAATGGGTCAATGCTTGCTATTGCTGCGCCTGCGCTCAGATTACCTTACCGCAACGTTGTATTAGATTACTCATTGTATTTTATTTAAAAAAATATGAGAATGTAATTTAAAATCAAATGTATAATGTCTTACCACTTGGAATAGTTAGTTCGTTATTGCATTTTATACCCAAAACTCTTCTGGCAAATTATTCTAATAGAGAAGCGCCTGATTAGATTATATTTCTATTATGACCTTATTATTTCAATTGAAACATTGAAAACAATTTTACAGGTGCTTTGAAATCTTAGGAAGATCAGAAATGTGATTCTTCTGTTTTATATTGTCACTAGATGGCTCTGTGGATAAATTTGAACAATAAACTACAATATTTGTACAATTTATTTTTGTAACAACGAAGTAAATACTTTGTTATCGTCGGCACGGATGTTTGTAGGTAATTAATATTCATATCACTTATCAGTGAGTAAAAATACATTATGGTTAACATTACGCTTGAAGGTAAAAACGAAGACCGTTTAAATGACACATTTATTTTATAGTTAATACATTACAGTGAAATAGTTTTAGCCCGCAACTTCGCCCGCGTGGAACTAAAAAAAAATAGTAAATAGTCTATGTGTTCCAGACGATCCTCTACATCTATGCCAAATTTCATCGAGATCCGTTCAGCTGTTTAGGCTACACATTCTAACAAACATCCATCTATCCATCTAAACTTTCGTATTTATAATATAAGTAAAAGTAAGAAAATTGTTGCTTAAAAATACGATGATTGTAATTGAAAAATTCCAGCTTATATGATTTTATAAAATAAAGATTCTTCCCATTGTCCATAGAGTCCTGAAAGGTAAATGCAATAGGAAACGCGACGTCGTGCGATGTATTTTTTCAATACCATCCTTTTGCACTTGAAAATACCAACCAAAGAGATTTTTTGAATCAAGTATTGCCACAGTTTCATTCCTTGTCTACCTCTTTAACATAAAGCGTTAACGTATACGCGTAATGTGATGTAATAAAGATTGGTATATTGAAATGTAACGTAATGACGTCATTTCATAAGAAACCCGTCAAGGAAACCTTGCTACGAAAGGCATGCTGTAAGAACAGCAATACATCCAAGTGTTGAAACTCTGCGCTGCGCCTGCGCCAGCAATAGGTTATTTTATTGCAATGCAACTGTCGTTACTTTGTTTAACGAAAACACGACTTAGAAATAAAATTAGTTCATAAAGTTAAACATTTTTAAGTTAAAATAGAATCCTATGAAACGTTTGTAAAACTAGCTTTCGCAAGCGACTCCGTCAACGTGGAATTAAAAAAAAAATAGGTAGCCTATGTGTTCTTCCAGACTATCCTCTATATCTGTTCCAAATTTCACGGAGATTTCTTCAGCAGTTTTATCTACAAACTCTAAGAAAGATCCATGTATCCATCTAAACATTGGCATTTATAATATTAGTAAGATTTTCAAAATTTGAGAGATAGTTAAGAAACTTATCCTTAATTAGTAACATTATTTAAAAAGACTAAAAACCTTCCATTCCTAACGCTAAAAACTGTACCAATCTCTAAATAATTATACTTTAAAAAGTAACTTGCCATATGGTAAGGTCTCAAATTGTCCCGTCTATAAGGGCATGCAATGTTTGTCCGTTCAACGCCAGATCTATGTGCAGTGCACTGGTTGCCCTTGGAGTAAACAGGTCAGCTTTTAACATAAGACAGGTTAACACAAATCAAACTAACTACGGCTGTTGCGCAGGTCAGTTATTTAAAGGTTCTATATGATTGGCAAATTCGTATACTTAAAAAAATCCTTAAAAAACTTGTATTAAATTACTATATCACTTGAAACACGAATTTACCAACAAGGTCTGCAACAACATAAACTATTACATATTAGTAGATTTCGCCAACGACTCCGTCCGCGTGGAAATAAAAAAAAAGAAAGTTGCCTATGAGTTCTTCCAGACTATCCTCTATATCTATGATAAATTTCATCGATATCCGTTCAGCAGTTTAGGTTACAAACTCTAACAAACATCCATCTAAACTTTCGAATTTACAATATAAACAGCAAATGCTCTTGAATTAGATAGAAATGTTTTCCTTGCATAGAATAGAGCAATCAGCTGTTAAGAAAATAATTAATTGCGTTAATACAAAATGTCATAATCGTAGTAAATGTGAACACTACTTGACTTGAGAAATACTAAAGGTCATGGCAGGTCATTTTGAATTCAGTTTATAAAGGTGTTCACACACTAGAGTGTAACGATAATTATAGAATATAAATAAATATGAACACAAAACTATATTTTAATAATTAAAGACTTTATAACTTATCAAGTTTCCTAATGTAATTAATACCATTAAATGTAATTTAAATAAATAATTTTCATATTAAATGTAAAATATGATCGAAGTATCGAAACAAATCTTGACTTTTTTTATACCTTGGATTAGTTACTTTCTTATAACTTCAATTTATGGAGAAACTCTTTGTTAGTCTTACATAGTGTAGCCCCGATATTCATAAACATTTTAACACGGTTACAAGCTTGACCTGTGCTTAGTATTCTTTCAATCACATTAAAGGGATACTTAAGTAGTCCCTTAGTGTAGATATATCATTGTAAATCTACACTAGAGATCTCCCTAACGACTAGAGCGTACTAGGCAAGTAACTTGGTAGCTATAATGCTCACGTCTATGTAACTAGCTAATCTACTTGACTAAAATTTGTTGTTACACGTTTAGTTACTTTACTCCTCTAAATGCCCTTTATAAATGTGACTTACTAAGTATTTAATAAAGTATTATTAATTGGTATGAGACCTAACATTACGGTGAATGCTTTGTGAGTAAATGTATAGATACAGTGTACACGGAAGCGTCACGTAGCACGTGAAGCATTTGCATATTGAATCGGTAGTTCACAGCTCACAGCTGATAAGCGGTGATTCATTGCGACGTTCACGCTGTACAGGTAACGGATATCGAAGCACCCGGAAGTGGTATCTAAACTTTTTTAATAAAAAAATATTTAAATTTCGAATTGATTGTTGTAATCTTACTTCTTACTAATATTATAAATGTGAAAGTTTAGATGGATGTTTGTTAGAGTTTGTAGCGTAAACGGCTGAACGGATCTCGATGAAATTTGGCATAGATATAGAGGATAGTTGGGAAAACACATAGGCTACTCACTTTTGTTTTTTTTTAATTCCACGCGGACGGAGTCGCGGACGAACTCTAGTTTTAAATACAGTAATGACAGAATAATTCAACTAAATGTGTGAGTCATTAATACAAGATTTTGTTTACTAATATTAAAAATGCGAACGTTTAGATGGATGGTTTGTTAGAGCTTGTAGCCTAAACGGCTAAACGGATCTGGACGATATTTGGCATAGATATAGAGCATAGTCTGGAAGAAAACACTACTTACATTTTTTTATTACACGCTGACGGAGTTACTGGCAAAAGCTAGTAGAGGAATAAATCATTATAGTTTTTCCCGTTACAGACCAATATCTACTTATAGTTAATTCCAGAAGAGAAAACCAGCACAATCGATGATAGTGAATAGTAAACAAGTTACTTATTTTATTTTTAAATGATAAAGTATTTAATATGTTTTATTATGTCAGTCTTGGTTTATTTGTGATTCATAAATTATTGTGCAAACGTCACGATATCATAATGACTTGCATACTATTATATGATAAAAAGAAAGTACAAAGTAATTATAACATATCCTTTTATAAGATAATGACGTGTTGATTTTAGCTTAAAATATTAAATTATGGAAAAAACGTGTGTCACGATATTCGGTTTATTTATATTTCTTAGTTTGAAGATTTTTTATAATTGAAACTGTTAATTATCGGGGATTTTAAAATGCAAAAACACTTCTATATTATTTCCTGAAAGATCACAGACAAGGGAATCATCAGAGGGGACTAGAGAATAAAAAAATGTTATGATATTAAAACTACTTTCAATAAGTCCATAACATTGACAGCAAACATAGACCTAGTCTGTACATCTGCTTGCGACGCATGTGATCACAGGGATTGTTTTTTACAAATATTTTGACGGTGGAAACACGCAAATAAGGCCTCACATGTATAATGGTACGAGCTGTTGCCCGCGACTTCGTCCGCGTGGCATTAGAAAACATACGAACAATATAAATTACAAAAAGCTGCGTTATCCCTTGGGAACCGGACATTTATCGGGGATGAAGCTTATCCCATGTGTACTCCAGACTTTGTTTTATATCTGTGCCAAATTTCAATAAGATATGTTGAACCGTTGCAGAATGATCGAGTAAACATTAAAAAACTAAATTAATGAATCCTACGTGAACCGTAACTATTCCCGGGATAAAAAGTAGCCTATGTGTTCTTCCAGACTATGCTCTAAACCTGTGCCAAATTTCATGGAGATCCGTTCAGCCATTTAGGCTACAAACGCTAACAAACATCCATCCATCCATCCATCCATCTAAACTTTCGCATTTATAATATTAGTAAGAAGTAAGATTTAGACCAATCAGAAACGTCATAGACAAACTGTATAAATCGCAGCAAACTTATAAATACGTCTTCATTTTAAATGGTACTTCCCCTGTTAAAATAGCTCAGTCACGCAACAGTGGTGCTGCTGTATGGTTCTTTACATGATTGTTAAATATACCTCTACTCAAAATAACAATTGCACAAGATTTTTAAATTAACAATTACGTTGAAATTCTCGAAATCTTGAAGATTAAGATGTTACGACTTATAATCTTAATGCGACAATTCACAGCTACAACACAAAATGTACAAATAAAACCGTAAAATATTTTATTTTTACAAAGAAAGGGTATCGGCTATTGGCAGTAATACCTAAGAGTTTTTGGCAAGGAAATCCTTTACAGAGTATTTAGTTTCTTTTTTTTCGTGACGTAAAAGTGGCGCCTGCACGAATATGTCGTATGTGTATTTCTAAATAAACATTACTCTATGTTAAGCCAGGCATTATCAACTATTATCAGATGAATTGGTCTCATCATTCGATAAATTGAGTATTCCATGATTCATGTGTGAGTAACTTGACTTTTCCCCTAATGCGTAGTTTTTGTACCATGACTAATGATGACAATAACATGTGATTTACTGTTTAATGTTTTTTTTTGTTTATTGCTTATCAAGTTGGATAAAGATCACGATATAGTAAGTAAAATATGTCAATCTTTGCCTAATTTAATCTTTGATCTGATATTTGTTAAGGGAAAAATGAAACATTCGTATACGTGTCCGAGATCTGTTGTTTTTCGAAAAATAATTATTATTGTCAATACATACCTGGTAATTAGTGTTGTTCGGGTACATAGTTGACACAAATATTGTACATTGTAATTCCGCCCGTTGGTTTTGTAATACAAATATGTTTTGTTGACTATCTTTGTTTAAAATTAAAAATATAATGTCTATTGGTCTAATATCTCGTCAGACATAGATCATTTAGCAATATACGTCGTTTCAGTAACGCAACATTTCATAACGGTGAAATTTATAATAAGCAATCGAGTGGCAAACAGCCTCAACCGCACTCAAGGTCCTAAATTGGTAATCGAACTTGGATCGCTCGCCAAATGTTGCGTACGCCTGCTGAAAAGAAAAAAAAACTAATCAAAAAAAAAAAACAAATATTTTGTCTATGCTCATCCGTCGACACAATTTGAACATGGAACGGAACGATTCACATATGAAATTGGCATAAAATTTAACGTTCCTTTGTCTTTTTTACAAAGTTAGGCAATTTTTTTAAATACCATTTTAAGATTTCAATTATAATCAGAAATCGAGGTAACTAAAGTTTGCTTTTTATAATTAATTGCTTAAATATTTTTTTTTTGTCTTATGTTTAGTAAGATTTCAATTTTAGCACAAAATTTCTAAACTTTATTCTATCTAGTTTTAAGCCCAATTTAATATTAGTTAATAGTTATTTTAGAGCCGCCGTAAAGAGCACTAAAATTATAACTTTTTTTTACGTTGAAAATAGTAAAATATTCGTTTATAGTTGTTTATGTAACAACGAAATTTCAAAGATTCTATCAACGACTACTTATTTCTTACTTCACAGTTTTCGAAATGAAAGAATAAACAAATTATTTATGCCGATCATTCTTAAAACCCAGTAAATAAGACATTAATTTTCACAGTCATTTATTTTACCCGCAAAATAATAAAAAATCATACCCTTAAATCTAACGATGGCGGAATTTGCGAGAAGACCGCCATCTTTTTTTGTAAATATGCAAATTTTTCATCACTATACTAAAGAAATAGCGATTTTTGGAAAGGGCACGATGATCTGATCTTAACTGCCTACTTAACACTAGAAACTTTAACATTTGTTTCGATAAAGTTAACGAATCTCGAATCGAAAGCACTTCCAGTTTTCCTTGAGTATTTAGGTTGCACTTATATCGACGGCGAGTTGACCTTACTTCAGATGCGATAGTCAATGCACTGCAAAATTTTTGCAAACCATTACTATGCAACTGGGAGGTTGCCTAACGCGGTTAGGCATAAGTGTTTTGAAATAGGCATATCGGTATAACATTTTGTATCTTAAGATATGTTAATTCGGAAGTTTAATTGATGACGGAATCGCATCAACGAAAAAATCTTTAAAAAGGGAAGAAATCAATTTAACATGGTAGTAAAAAAGTATGTGTAAAAAGAAAGAATTTATCTAAAGAATACGATAATGTAAAATTTTCATAAAAATTATTTATTATTTAGGTGTACTTTACTCTGTGACTTCTTTCTTTTTGCTTGTGTATATTTACCAAAACGATTCGGATTCTCATTTTACTAATATCGTAAATGCGAAAGTTGAGATGCATGGATACATCCAGAACATAGTCTCTAAAAACACAAAGGTACTTTTTTTTTAATTCGGCGCGGACTGAGTCCTGGACTATAGCTAGTGTAATATAGCCTCTTAATATTAATTTGAACACCAGAACTAAATACCTAGTTATGTAAATACAAAAATTATGCCCATGACCATGAATTCTACATACTAAGATTATTCTACTCTCCTCTTAAATATATCAATGTCTGAAGATGATTGTGACTAGTTAAACGTTTTCCGCAAACACTTTTTTGTATACAAACAAATCAAACAAAAAAAACACAGTTGGTTTACGGAAAAAGTAAAATCCTCAAGGCTGGAAACACAACTTGAATACGAATCAACATTTAATTTGAATAAGAATACATTTAGGTGCGATTAACACTTCTTCCTAATGCTCAAAGTCTAATGTTCAAAGACTACTGATGTGGGGGAAGGCGTTTATTACGTAACATAAATCCAGCCATATTCTTGCAAAGTACCCTTCGCATTCGCACTAGCTATTTTTTAACGCGGCCTGGCTATATTTTAAAGACGGGGTTAACAAGTGTCGAATTAAGAACGCTATAGTACGACTCTTGCACAAAATGTAAAACTAGGCGATTAAAATCGTCGCGTTTTAATTGCGAAATGCCATTTGAACTGATATATGTATTTGTTCTATAAACGTTTTTTTAACGCGCGTTAAAAAGCGCCGGTAAGAATGAGGGCTCAGGCTAGATTAATTTTGAAGAGTATTTCATTTTAATCGAATTCTTTGTATTATTAGTGGTACAGTAGTGTAAATTACTAATTTTAAATATAGAACATAAATAAAAAAATCAAATAGACCCTTGAATTACGTTTGAATGCAAACGATCGGGTCGGCTTTAGTTAGGGTTGACGCGACTAGTTTCGTTCACCCAACAACAAATTTATGTCGTTCGCTGCGTGTCCATTAATTTAAAAACCATTACAACTATTGATTGGGACAGTTTCTGTGTAAATTAACTACGAGTATAAATTGAAATAGATTAATGAAACTGATTTATTGGCGGTGATATACGATAGTAAATTGTTGTGGATTTATTAGGCAGATACGAATTTTAAAAATAGAAGAATCAAGTAATAATTTGTACTTTGTTGAATTTAATCGGCTTAGTATGTAACTTGAGTTTTAAAAATATTTTAATGCAATATTCAACGTATCAAACCAAAAGCCTGGTGTATCCAGATTTGTATTATATTCGACAAATCCTCGGGCAAAATATTGTGCAAACTATAAAAGAAGGATCTAAATTAGAGCATTCGCACCGGTTGCGAATTTCCCAAGAAAAACAATTAATAAGAGAAAAAACAAGCATTAAATATATCATATAGGATGGGAAAATACATTATTAACTTATAATTTTATACAATAGTTACATTCTTCCTTATTAACAACTAGCTGTTGTCCGCGACTTCGTCTATGCAAGATTGAGATAAAAAACGCAATGTATTATATAATATGAAATCAGGCTAGCCGTTTCGGAGATTACTCGGAACAAACGCAGCTTGCGGACAGACAGACAGATAGACAAAAAAAATGCGATTTTCGTAATCAGCAACGCAAATACATCATCTTCCCGAAATCTTTATTTTTTTTAATATTACAAACAGACACTACTACTACTATATGTGTATATATATATATATAGAAGATAGATATTCTACACGGGTTAATCAAATCCGTAATCAAATAGTTATTACGAAGACAATGCGAACACATCATGTTATGTTGAGTCGGAATCATAATGAATCAGGACAGCATCGGTATGAAGTTTGATTCATCGTATTCTGATGTTTTAGTTACATCATTGGGTGGCTCAGGGGTGGCGAACATTTATGCACCAAAGTGCCATTTAAAAAAAAAAATTAATGCAGTCTTAGACGTGGCATCAAATAATTTTGACTGCGATTATTACGTCAATTCCATGGTACACCTTCTTCATATTTTTTTCGTAGTGTTTTTATGATTATCGAGTACAAAAGATATGTCGTGTGGCATTTATGTCACGCGTGCCAGTGGTTCGTCATCCCTGGGGTAGCTAATCCGTATTAAGGGATTCAAACTTAATGCCAGCTCGTAGTTATCTGCGAACGCATATCTATAAAAATGGGTTTTCATAAATAAAAGGCACGAACGGACTCAAGCGCTGCATCCATAGACACGTAAACAAGTAAAGTTTGGTTATTACTATACATGAGCTCTTGGTATCATCAATAAATGAAACAAATAAAGTATGAAAATGGGTCAGTTTACTGATTCCACGTATGTGGCAGTGATAGTGCCCGCTTTAACATCTTAGCACGAATGGGCTGGCACGCCCAGTGTAATAGCACGACCACACAGAAGACAGGCGTAAAATGGAAGCAATTCCGTGTTTTGTCTGATGAGTATGGTGCCGCTGGCCTAATTTAAGTCCCTTTCCCTTTACCACCCCTTTCTTATAAGGAGTAGATGGGAAGATGAAGTGGATTTGACGGTGGAGGAGATGCATAGGAAGAGGAAGTATCCTCTTTATGTGTGTCTCCTCCTCCGTCGGATAGGGGTAGGCAACGCATCTGCAATTGCGGATGTCTATGGGCAGCGGTCGCTTCGCTATTTTGACGGATTCTGGCGGCCGCTTGCTCGTTTGCCACCTTATGTTATAAAAAAAAATGTGACGTAAGATAATAAAGTGTTTCTCTTTTCCAGAAGAATCCAGAAAGTAAATGAACGTCACCATGGGTATTTACTGGCGAATTTGACTATCATAGTACATTGCTATAACTTAACGTAAGTCAGTTAATTTTGACTTTGTATCTAAAGCATAATTTTTTATGATAATAAGTGTTGTGATAATTATATCTACAACAAATGAATAGCATGTTTTATCTATATTTATACTTTTATCACATAATAAAAATGTAGTCGTATCAACCAACAGTGAGTGGTTGAAAAAGTTTACACTTTTATCAACATTACATGAAAGATTTAAAATTCAATACGAATCTGAAAAACCCAGGAAATCCCAAAGTTGAATAGAGATTAAGGAAAATAAGGAAGTACGATGAAATAATTCATGACCGCCAATGTTTGACGAATTTCAAATACCTACATACATTTTTAAATTATCATCCACGATTTTATAGCATTAGGATGGAAAACTATTAATTTCAAAAGCAATTGATAAAATACATAACTACTTATAAACATTAAAAGATGTAAAACGTAAAATATAATATAACAATTCATAGTTAAAAATAGTCATTCATTGTTCATCTATGACAAATGACGTACAATTCTTTCTCCTAATATGTTGAGTCACGCTTCCTATTTCAAAAGGGCCACAAATGGACAAAATATTGTGCAATTATTGCACTTCGGTGTTACTCAAATGTGTACTAATAGGCTATAAAACAATTACTAGAACATTTTCTAACAAGATTCTAAAGGGCCGACCTCGCGAACATTCTGCGATACATTACAAATGACTCATATTTCAACATAGTTTAAACTCCTCTTTATCTATGCTAATTGTCTTTGACGATTCCTAATGACAGACAAAGTATTGTCCAAATAAAATGTAACGATTTTCTATATCATGAACTAGTCTAAGGGATTGATTCACAATGTCAAAGACTTTATTGTTTCTACGTTTACTTTTAACTTATCCAGCAGTTTTGCTAGATCTTACTGCTTACTAATATTATAAATGCGAAAGTTTAGATGGATGGATGG